AAAAAAAAAAAAAAAAATTCTTTGCTGTCTCATGTTCCACATCAAAGTGGTGTGGCTTCTGTCAAGCTGTCCGGTCAAGTCCCAAGATACATTTTGTATTCTGTAATACAAACAATTGTGCGTCTACTTCTTGTTCTTTATGCAGGGACTGGTATCTGGAATCTATTACAGTGTAAGAAAGCTGTTTCTTCCAAGAAAATAGGGCATGTGGAATGTGGAAAACCTCCAGAAACCCCATGTTATAAAATTCTAGTTTACTTGAAGTTGTTATGCTCATTTAAATTCTTCTAAAGATATTGTTTTGAAAGTGACGCCATTTTTGTCCCCTTATTTTCTGGATAATTTTATCAAAAAATGATTGGGCTTCCTGAAAATAAGGCTTAACTTGGTATCTTTTGGTTCTACTGACTTCTTTTTTTTTTCTTTCTTAGGGCTTGATTTTTTGTGAGCATAAAGCATGGTCAGTAAGAGGCATCTTGGTCTTATGCTGTCATTGGAGCAGCTGACTAGAGCGACTGACTGATTCTGAATCTCCCTATGGGTCTTGTTGCTGCTTTGGGAACAGTAAACGTTGTTTCGTCTATATCTAGTGTAGTGTACATTTTTGTGCTGGCACAGTTATGCAAGGGCATATAAGGAAGTGTTGCTACTTTGGAGCCTGGTTTCTTTCCAACTCTGAAGTGTGATATAAGTAGGCTGCATGAGTAAACAGAAGCTTATTCTTCTTTGCTGTATAACATGCTGTAAAAGGTGGACCACAATTTGAACCATAAGCATGAATCTACAGAGTATGGACAGAGCTGACTAAAAGTTTCTTGACCCTGGAACTTTCCTTTATGAATTGGGCTATTAGTTATTTCCTGTAAAGGAAAAGGAACTGTGACTTTTTAAAGGAGGATAAAAAACTGCAATCTCTCTCTCCTAATTTGAGGGACATGTCAGATTTAATTTTGTTTTAGCTTCTAATGGAGGCAGTCTGTATTTTCTTCATCAGTTTAATTCCCCGCTCATTAATTTTGCATTTGTGTTAGTTTGTAAAATCCTAATTAAAGAACTTGCATGTGTTTTAAGGATTGCCTTTTTAAAAACAGAACACTCCTTTCTGGGGGAGAAAATTTACCAACTGAACCCTTGCAGTTTACATTTTTAATGAAATCTTCTAGTGCCTTTAAAAAGAAGAAAATGAAAGGGTCAGGAGGTTTCAAACCTTGAAAAGAATTGGGTTTTCTGGGTTTTTTTTGACAAAGTGTCACAGCAGTTTGGCTTTCTTTTAGCTTTAGTTTTTTGAAAGCTTCAGTAAAATAGAGTAAAAATAAACAACAGTCTCTTCATATACTATAGTTTTTCGTGTAGATTAGACAGTAGGCCAAGTTATTCATTACATTTGTTGGTTGTCTTATATTCATTTTTTCTGTTTGGGTTATTCAAGTTGGTAGCTGAGATTTGATAGAAAGGCAGAATACTCCCCCAGATCAGAAAGGAGGAGCAGGCAGAAATCATTTATCAAGAGGATAAAGGTATTTACAAGGGGAGAGGTAATAATTTATAACTCAGAACGATAGAAGGGGTGAAATCTTCCAACCTGTTCCTTAATCTACTGCTAGTTCACTTAAAGGGCAAGCTTAGTAAAGGGCACCTCCAGTGGCATGAGAGGGGTGCCTTAGATCTTGAACATGACCTTCATGAAGTCAGTGCTTTCAGGTTGTGGCGTTTAATGTGATCACTGTGGTTTAACTGCAATTTTCTGAAGCCTACTAGACTAGGAGTAGTATCATGTAGGCCCAGTAGTTACAGAAAGTGGCTAGCTGATGACTAACCCAAGAGTTTTGATGCATAGTCTTAACACAGGTTCTCTTGATCCATCCATTTTTCAAGCTGGATCATATGTGGGCTGCCTCTGCTTCTCCAGAGTAAAGAAGTTGGGATATGATGACATGCATACTGTATCCCCAGTAGATGCACAAGTCAAAGTGATTTGAGCTAAATCTCCCTTAACTTGTTTTGTGGAAAGCAGGATGCTTCTGAAGATAAGTGTCTCCTTAATTGTGAGATGTGGTTGATAAGTTAGTATTAACTTGATTGTTGATCAGTTCTATAAATCATGTTAGTTCATGATTTCCATTGCTCAAAATGCACATCACAGCTTGTGATGACTTGTGTAGCTTTTTTGCTAGATAGACACCTGGACTGTGTAGGGATTTGTAGTGCTCTGAAAACTTGTTGTTGTGGGTGCGGGGGCAATGAGTTTTTCATATTGTGTGTTTTGTTTTTAACAAAGAGTAATCGTGCTTGTAAAAAGAGGGAAAGGAAGAGCTGAAGGATCAAGTGTTAGGCAGCTATTCCACAGCTGAGAGAGAATCCGTGGTCAGAAGTGCAGGCTGATGCAAACCGGTTGCTCTCTCCAGCTTGGTATTAAAACTTGCAATTTCTTAAATATATCTTAATGAGACTGAGAAGCAAACCTAAAAAAGGGAACCGGAAGAGTATGAGGGAGGCTTTATATGTCTGCTGCTACTCAAGGGGGGCAAATAACATCTGATATTGTTAAGTGCGTCTCCCATGAGGCAAATTTTCAGACAGCCTGGCTGCTCAAAAGCTGCTTCAGCCAGGGAATGGTAACCAAGCCAGAAGGTGTTCAGCATGCTGATGCTGTAGGAAATCGAGCCCAAGTTGTTTTGCAATGAAGCATATGCTAACAACCACCATTCTAGTCCACTCATGTCCTAAGTGAGCTCTTGAAAGAATTCCCATATATTTTATTATACATCCTGCTTTTTTAAGAGGTGTTCTTTCAAACCAAGCAGGAACTTATTCAGATTAACCCAATTCTTGAAACAAACCTTCTATTGCCAGTTGACTGACTAGAGGAATGTTAAAACTGATGGTTGTTTTCAATGAAAATACAAATTGGGCATCCACATGGCATTTCTCCAAGGCCTAAAAAAATGTTTTGCATTATTATTTTCTCACAAGCATAGGTTACATAATTTGTTTTCTGTAGTATAGACTCATAGGGTTTTTCCTTCTCCTTTTTAATTTTTAGTGTAAGCTTTTCATATTTAAAAATATGAAGTATTTACATTTTAATATTAAAAAATGTAGCATCAGATAAGCATTATTCTCTGTTGCACCTAACTGTCAGTACGTTTCTTTTAGGAATTCTAGTTCACTTTTTTTTCTACCTTTAGTTAAAGGTCACCTGTTGGACTTTTTTGATTTGTGGTGGACCTTGGGTCAGGAAAAGTTGCCTTGAGCGCTGAATTTGAGGTAGGCATGGTCAAGAATCCTACATGGCATTAGAAGGAACTGATTTCAAACCTTATTTAGGTGTATTGTGTTTTTTCCCAGAGCCATGGAATTACATATTTTTTTTTCACTGCTTTAGTTGCTGGGGGGAGGGCATTATGGCTTACGAGTAAAGGGCACCAGCGTATCGGGGCTGCTCAGCACCACAAAGCAGCTGGTGGGGGGGAGCCACAGCTGGACCCGCATCCTGGTGAGTGAAGGGGGCAGGGAGAGCTGTGATTTTTTTTTTTTTTTTTTTAAAAAGTGCCAAAATACAGGTATTTAGAATTTATTTTATTGTAATGATTGAGGCACACTGGCTTCCAGATTGCTTTAATATTGTAAATATATCAGTAAAACATTGTGTTCAGCTATACATATAGTGGTGTGTCATTTTAAGCATGGAAAAATGCAGTTTTTGGTGGTTTTAATCTGATACTTTTGGATTTTTTAATAGAGAAAAGCTAGGATCCGTGCTTATTACTGATTGATTTGATAATCGGCACCTCACTCAAAATAGTCTTATTTCTTCCCAAATTCCAAAAGCACCGGTAAGCATCGCCGGTAAGTGTTTAGTCAGAGTTGATTTGCACTAAAAGCAGGAGAAACAAAAGTGAGTGTTTTAACCTGGTATTTCTAGCTCCTACTTCCCAGTCAGGTGCTGTGGCAGCTACTCTGAGGCTAGGTACAGACACTTCATAGTTTCATAGTTTCTAGGGTCGGAAGGGACCTGAGCAGATCATCAAGTCCAACCCCCTGCCATGGCAGGAAAGAGTACTGGGGTCAAACGACCCCGGCAAGGTGTTCATCTAACCTCCTCTTAAAGACCCCCAGGGTAGGAGCCAGCACCACTTCTCTTGGAAGTTGGTTCCAGATCCTAGCTGCCCTGACAGCGCAGTAGCGCCTCCTGATGTCTAACCTAAACCTACCCTCTGCCAGCTTGTGACCGTTATTCCTGGTCACTCCTGGCAGTGCTCGGGGGAACAGGGACTTCCCCAGTGCCTGCTGGTCGCCTCTGACTAGTTTGTAACAGGCCACTAGATCCCCCCTCAGCCTTCTCTTGTAGAGGTTGAACAAGTTCAGGCCTCTCAGCCTCTCCTTGTAGGGCCTGCCCTGCTGCCTCCTGATCATGCGAGTGGCCCTCCTCTGCACCCTCTCCATGTTGTCCACATCCCTCTTGAAGTGCAGCGCCCAGAACTGGATGCAGTACTCAAATTGCGGCCTGACCAGTGCTGCATAGAGGGGGAGGATCACCTCCTTGGACCTGCGTGAGATGCATTTGTGTATGCATGACAAGGTACGGTTGGCCTTCCTGACCGCATCCCCACACTGTCGGCCCATGTCCATTTTGGCATCAATAATGACTCCAAGATCCTTTTCTGCCTCTGCGCTGACAAGAAGGAAGTTCCCTGACCTGTAGGTATGCTGCTGGTTCTTCCTTCT